GAGATAAAGACTTGGATCCAGCTGACTATTTCAGTGGGTGGAAGGACAGTTACCAAAGAACTCAACTTTATTCCAGCTGCAGCCCAAAAGGCCCCCCAATGCTATTCCTGGGTTCCCCTGTCCCCCAGGAGCAGCATCTCATAAGATATTTGGGGCTGCAGGAGGGGGGAGGTGAAAAAGTTAGGCTCTGGAGGCAGAAATACTACCTCCTGTGAAAAGTTTGGCTGGATCCAAGCCAATTCATGGAAGCTTCCTTTCAATCTGAACCTGGAAGCAATAAGGTAACTGATCTAGCACCTTGCCTTGTGTTGATTTCACTGCAATACCCCCAAAGAGTTGAAACTATATATCCAAAGACCCAAAGCAGCATTTAAAACTTGTAAATTAAAAAAAAAGTCTTAAGGCAAGATATGATACATATGGCAATTCTGCTTTGACCAAGTGAAACATAATATTTCCTACGAGCTTAGAACATGCTGCTATCTGCAGGTATAAAGGGTACTTTCTAAACACAATCTGCTAGTTTAAAGTAGTCCAGGAATATGCAGAACTCTGCCTAAATGTCAGATAAAAATAACGATCCAAACGTATTTCAGCCCATTTCTGACAATGCCAAGAGTGTGAACTTTAAAATGCACTTGATCCTTAGACTGTCACTAATTTCAAGCTGCGTGCTTTGAAGAATGAGCTTATGTGCTGGAAAATCAGTATATACGTTTCTAAATGCATATTTTAATTAACATCAATGGATTTAGAAGGGTGTAACTTTGCTTAGAATTGCACTGTCCAGGTATTAGATTGGATTTCTGTAACTTCTAAAGTGCATATTCTATTATATTAAATTTTCTTGTTTTTGTTTGGTTTGCTTTCTGATTTGTAGTAAACAAACCTGTGTATCTGTCACCCTAATACACACAAAAATAAAAGCACTCAATCAGGACTAAATCTCTGTCTTTTCCCCCATACTTTTTGTGTCTGTAACTGGCCTCATTTTGGCAGATGCATACTGAAATTTTGTATTAGTTGTAGAATGGGTTCCAAACTGCAAATCCTTTACACACTTATTTGGCAGTGAATTCCTCTGAATTTGATGGGTCTCAAATCCAAGTAAATAGGCATAGGAGAGGGCTGCATATTATTTCTGAAAGACAAGTGCTGGGGGGGGGGCAACAGTGAGAGGGCTTCTAGTGTCCTGGCCCCACTTGTGTACCTCCTGATGGCACCTGGTATTTTTGGCCACTGTGTGACAGTGTTGGACTGGATGGGCCATTGGCCTGATCCAACATTGGCTTCTCTTATGTTTTTAATTTTTATGCTAAGTAAATTATATTCTTGCGAAGTCAATTTCTATAACATCCCAGTTGAATTTATCACCATAGGAAAACTCTGACCAGACCACAAAAGGTTATTTTGATCAACTGTATTTCACTTTGGGTGTAAAACAGACAATGGCCCCGGTCACATGGCAAAGTTGCCACGGGAGAGGCACGGATGGTGGACGGATTATCCGGGCGCGATCACACCCCAACATCTGGGAAGTGGAGCGCACCCATGGCTTACCACCGACAATGCACGTTTAAAAACTAGAACCTCCAAGGTATTAGTAAACGTTTGCCACGAGCTGCCTCCAGATGCTGGTGGTGTGATCGCGCCAGCACGCGGCATTCCCCTCCAGTCCCTCTACACCGAGGGAAGGACTCGTGGTGTGCCGCTGGCGCGTCTGATCGCGTAATCACGGATCAAACTGTGCTGGGGCAATTAGCCACGCCTCCCACCCACGATATCCGGCCTGTGTGACTGGGGCCATAATGCTCCACAATCTCAGCATGTCTTCCAAGTGCTTTAAATTGGCAGTTTGAAAGTAAGCCACAACCCTGTTTGCAAGACTTGAGCAAGGCTGTTAATAACAGGACATTTTGGAGGTCATTCTTTTCAGAGGTGGAAGCAACTTCACAGCACTTAATACATTCTTACTGTGTAAGAGATTACCCATTTAGGTGTAGTAAAGAGCACAGCCCCAACCTGGAAGGCCCAGGCTAGCCCAGTCAGGTCAAATCTTGAAAGGTAAGCAGGGTTGGCCCTGGTTAGTATTTGGATGGGAAACCACCAAGAGGTCCAGGGTCAGTATTCAGAGCCAGGCAATGGTAAACCACCTCTAAACGTCTCTTGCCTTGAAAACCCTAAAGGCTCATCATAAATCAGCAGCAACTTGAGGGCACTTTACACACACAGTTGCCCATGAAATTTATTGGGCGACCTCGGGCCTGTCCCTCTCAGCCTATCCTACCTTAACAGGATGCTGCTCTGAGGCCTAGGGGAGAACTATATATGCTCTCTTTTAAACTGGGAGTAATGAAGATTGCATGATAGGGGTCCCTGCCATACGGCAGGGAATTAGACGCTAGTACCGCGGCTAAAGTGAGCCGCAGCAAAGTTGGGACGGCGCAGCGGGATCTCACAGATCCCCCGAGCCGCGTCGCAACACTCCCCGGCACGATCAGATGCCGGGGAGAACGCGACGGTGGGAAGGGGAGCCTGGCGAACTGCGCATGCTCACACATGCGCAGTTCGGCCAGGAGCCGGGGATGCGCCGGCGCAAGGACGCGCCGGCAATCCCACGGCCAGCGTTGCTGCGGCCCTTCAGAAAGAACCACCTCGGGAGGTGGTTCTTTTTCGCCACGGAGCAACGCTGGAAGGGACGGAACCGGGACGGATCCGGCACGCTCCCCAGATGTTGAGGTGGGATCGCGCCGGTTTGCTCCGCCCCCGTTCCGTCCTGCTCCCGGCTCAAATGGGCTCCTATGAACAGGGCCAGTGATTTTTGCGTCGGTCAAAATCTAGTAAGTGTTCTGCACGTCAAGCCAGCCAGCCTGTATCTGGTTCACGCCGTACCCGTAGTCAGAAATCGACAGGCTAGTGTTGATCCCCAAAAGCGACCTGAAGCAAAACCGGATTATTCCCATTTCTCAGAGATCAAGTCCAGCACAATTTCTTTCTCGTAATCCGTGCACCTACACTAAATTCTAATCCAGTGTGCCAGGATTGGAAAGCATCCCCATCTTCCACCGGCTCCCGCGGGCTCGCGAGCAGAGACCGAGAACGCGCCTCGCTCTTCCCTCCCAGGCAAAACTCCTACAGGCGGAAGCTAGACGATAGAGGCCGGCTCACGGCCGCCCACCTTTCCTTCTCCACAAGCCGAGACACCCCTAGCACCCGTGCTTCGGCTCAGGAGGAAGGACCGGCGTGGAGGGGAGGAGTCGGCCGCGGCTGGCTCCTCCTCCAGAATCCGCCCCGGCGCCTTCCCTTTGCCATCCGACTGACTCTTAGCTCTGTGCTACTCAGGGTATGTAACTTGCTCGCAGCGCGTCCTCGCCAAGGTTTCGTCGTATGCATTTCAGTGGGATTTCTGCTTCCGTGGAGAGTTGCAGCCTCGGTTACGCGGCGCGGGTCGCTCGGCCTTGGGCTTCTGCAGGGAAGAGCCCTGCCATCGAATCCCTGGGCGCTTGGCGCCTTGAGCGCGGAAGGCCCGCCTTCCGCGCTCAAGGCGCCAAACTCCCCGGGATTTGATTGCTGGGCTCGTTCTTCCTGCGGCTGCAAGTGCAGCGCTTTGGAGACAGAAAAGCGGCCGGCTTGCGCTGGAATGGCCGCCTCTTCTCCGTTTGCGCCCAAGGTGAATTGTTGTTGTTCAGTCGCACAGTCGAGTCCGACTCTTCGCGACCCCATGGGTCACATCACGCCAGGCCCTCCTGTCTTCTGTCGTGCTCCGGAGTTTGCATCGATAACATTGTCTAATAACTCGTACCCTAAAGGGAAGATTTCTTACGTACCGACATACATATACAGAGGATAGTGATGTACTTTCCCTGACAAGACTTGAGCCGAGCGCGAAGGGTGCCTCTGGGCCTGGTACATAAATGCATTGCCCTCGCCATTACAGCGACAGCGTAGAATCACTCCAGTGCCTTTGAACTGTAGCGCCGAGCAGGGAATTTGAGCAGGTCCCGCTTTTCTCGCTCCTGCAGAACAAGCCGCTCCTATCCGAATGCCCGTTGCTCCATCTAGCAGTAGCAAAGGTACAGCCGCGGTCAGCTCCCGCACACCTAGGGGTCGGACGACTCAGGGCTCCCCGGGTTAGAAGGCGGAGCTTTCGGGGAAACTCCTGTGCCTCTCTTTAGAAGTGAACCAGTTGGTCTCCTGTTGATAACGTCCGGAGGCAGGGCTGCAGTTAGTGCAGTGTAGAGGTTGGAGTGTCAGGCTAGAACTAGGGAGAGCCTGATTTGGTGTTTTTTTTAACTAGTTATCAAAAACGGTTACAGGTTGAAAGGTTAAACCCCCTCTGCACACCCTGTATATTTGTATACAGGGTATATTTGTGTCTTCATTCTTCACCTTGGGTCAATCATGTGCTGTCTCAGACAAGGAGACAACAAACTCAGTTTTAGCCCCCCACATCGAAGGGTTGTAGGGACCTGCTTTTGAGCATGGGGGGGGGTCACATTTAGTTCCTAATTGATTCACAGAGATCCATTAGCATGTTAGGATTTAAATGTGCAAGGCAGGAGAAAATGTGAAAATGATCTTACATACATCCAGTGTGGCACAGCAGTTAGAGTGTCAGAAGTAGGATTACAGAAATCTGGATTCAAATCCCCACTCTGCCATGGAAGCTTGCTGGGTGTCCTTGGGCCAGTCACATACTCTCAGTCTAACCTACCTCACGGGGTTGTTGTGAGCATAAAACGGAGGAGAAGAGCATACAAGCTGCTTTGGGTCCCCACTGGGGAGAAGGGTGGCATATAAATGAAGTCAGTAAATAAACACCTAAGAAATTATGCTACATGGAAAACATAATAAGCTCAACTGAAGTGATCAAATTTGGCCTATTTGTTTAAAATTCTATTTGTGATCTACAAACAGAGTAATGTTTTAAATAAACAAATAATGAAGTGTGCTTTACGTAGTTAGTATAATTTTGTGTATCTTCTGATTGTAGGTTCACAATGCTTCTGAGTACTGAGCAGGTGAATCTCACTGGACAAGTGTTTGAGTCATATATTTTGGAATACCACAAAAATGACCTCTTGCAGATTTTGAGAGAAAAAGATGATGATGTTCATTACCCAGTTATTATCAATGCTCTGACACTTTTTGAGGCCAACATGGAAATTGGTGAATATTTCAATGCATTTCCTAATGAAGTGCTCCCCATTTTTGATAATGCATTGCGAAGGGCAGCTTTGTCAGTTTTTCAGTCTGTTTCCCAAGCTCATGATGTCAGCATTAAGCAGAATCTTCATTCCAGAATCTCAGGTAAGATGCAGTTGCATGCACATTTTGTATAGCACTGTAAAGGACCGCTCTGTAATTCCTATTTTGGATGTCTGAAGCTGGGTAGCTAAAGAAAGCAGAACATGACGGGTCTTTTTAATTATGTATTTTCCCCTCTCCCTTTGTTCAGGGAGCTCAGGGGTCATCTGTAATTCTCCTTTCTCCCCTCACCCCATTCATCTTTGTTTCCTACTGCAGTGGCTCCTAAAAGATCTTCCCAGCCTTTACGTTTTGAAAAACGTTTTGTATCTCTGCAGTTGATTATGCTTTTCACAGCATAATTCTCACTTCCATTATTCCATAATTCTCACATCCATTATCTCATCATTTCTACTTACTATTCTACTTCTCTCTCACCTTAAGTTTCTTTCTTCCATTCTTCCGCCCTTCCACTTCATTCTTAGTTACCTTCTCAACCATTTGACTGTCTTTATCCATTGGTTTCTTCTCCTCTAATTTACTGAACTGTAACGTAATCAGGGGCATGCATGCATGTCTGGAAAAACAGATCAGCAAAGAATAAAACAAGGCAGTCCCTTTAATTCTTCCACCACTTCTGTTTTAGTATTGTATCTCAGTTGATCTGAAGTTTTGTCTGACAGTGATGCCAGAAAGATGTGCAATAGCTGAGCGAAGTGAGGAAGTTTCCCCTGACTTGGGAGACATATACAGGATCTAAGAACAGGATTTGTTGAAGCTCTGACCACTCTCTGGAATAAGGAGATGGCCCAGGCTGTTCACAATCATACAATGGCAATGAAAAGGGAGGAATAACAGCTAGGGTACCACTGGCAGAAACCTCAGAGCAAAACTGATCGAACACGGCACAGAGCCCGTATTAGAACCTATTCTGTGGAAGTGATGATGGTGAAAAGGTGATGTTTCTCTGCCATCATTGTGTTTGCGTGTAATTGTCCAGCGGAGCGGTGCCATGTGGTTCGGAAGCTCTTACATCATGGCCCCAGGTAATTGGACCCTGACCACACAGCAGCCTGCTATGATCAATTTGCCACTTACTTTGCAGACAGAATTGCTCAGATCTGCTCTGGGTTAGATGCTAGCATGAATGCATGTCCAAATGAGGTACTTTTGGCATCTGATTGTCCAATCTCTAGGAATACCTTTCAGATTGTGGATTCCAAAGATGTGGACAAAATCTTTGGACAGGTGAGACCTAGCACCTGTGTTCTCAACCCTTGCCCTTCCTGGCTGATAAAAGCTGCCAGAGGGGGAATGGCTGACTGAATAAAGGGAGTAGTAAATACTTCCTTGAGAACACAACCTGTGCTCTGCAGTTTTCCACCTAGTTCCAAGGATGCTGTTAATGTTCTGAACTGGTTGCTGGGAGTCAGCAAGGGGCTGGATGAGGGTGAACAAGCTGAAACTTAATCCTGACAAGTCAGAGGCTCTCTGGGTTAGTAGAAAAGCAGTTCAGGGACTTTAGATCTCCCCTGTCTTGGATGGGGTTACAGTTCCCTTGAAAAGTCAGGTTTGCAGCTTGGGAGTGCTGCTTGACACAGCAGTCACGCTAGAAGGAGAAGAAGAGAAGAGATTGGATTTATACCCCACCCTTCACTTGGAGTCTCAGGGCGGCTTACAAACTCCTTTCCCTTCCCCTCCCCACAACAGACACCCTGTGAGGTGGGTGGGGTTGAGAGAGCTCTGACACAAACTGCTCTTTTTCAAGGACAGCTGTGCCAGAGCTTGTGACTGACCCAAGGTCACATCAGCAGGTGCAAGTGGAGGAGTGGGGAATCAAACCCGGTTCTCCCAGATTAGAGTCCGCACACTTAACCACTGCACCAAACTGGTTAGAAACCCAGGTGGCTGCTGTGGCTCAGAGTGTGTTTGCTTAGCTCCAGCTGGTGCTTCAACTGCAACCATTCCTGGGTCAGTCACATCTAGCCACACAGTGATCCATGCTTTAGATACATCTAGACTGGACTATTGCAATGTACTCTATTTGGGGCTGTTTGGAAGCTGCAGCTAGAGCAGATTGCTGCAGCTAGACTGCTGGTTGGGGGCAGCTATCGGGAGCATATGTCCCCAATACTACAGCAATTACACTGGCTGCTGATCGGCTCCTGAGTCCAATTCAGTGTTAATTTTGTCCCGTAAAGTCCTACGTGGCTTGGGACAGGTATCTAAAGAACTACTGATTACAGATACTCATTTGGTGGGTACATGAGAAATGGCCTTTTCTGTGGTAGCCTCGCAGTTATGGTACAATCTCCCCATGGAGGCCTGGCCCCCTCTTTGTCAGTCTTCATGACACAGCTGAAGAAAGTTTTATTCAGGACTGTACAGGCATATTCCAGAAACAAGTGTCCTCAATCATTCTTGGGGCTTTGGGGCAGTTTTCCTTTTAGCACTGAAATTTCCTGGCTTATTGAATTGTATACCAATGTGAAATAATTGTTAAGGACTGCATATGCGAATGTATGTACAAATATTAATTTGGTTAGCTGACGCATTCAGACTAGGTTCTAACAGTTATGATTTTGATACAAAGATATTATGGGCTTTGATCCTAAGTGTGCATTTAAGGGAAAGGGTGCGTGTGATTTTTGCCATTTCCCCCCTCTTGCTTCCGCCCTATATGGTTCTTATGGGGCCACTGTCCCATGGGGACATAATTTCAGAGGGAACAGAAAGTCACTGCTTAAGGCACTAATCTCCACTTGCACGGTGCAGGATCCAGACATGTGTTATTAGTATGGCCAATTTATGTATTTATTTCCTTCAATTTATATCCCGCCCTCCCTGCAAAGCAGGCTCAGGGCAGGTTCCAACCTATAATAATCTGCTGAGTGCAGATTTACATAATAAAAACAGAATAACAAAGTACATATAATACATACAATAAAATAAGTACAACACTAAATACTTTAAAATAAATTATACCTCAACAGACACATAAGAGTAACTCGGGGCGGGGGGGGGGGAGGCCAGATTGAACCGGATACCTGTCTTGCAGGCCCTGCGGAATTGTGAAAGCTCTTGCAGGGCCCTAGTTTCTCACAGGAGCTCATTCCACCAGGCAGGGGCCAGGGCCAAAAAAGCCCTGACCCTAGCTGAGGCAAGTCCCTATTTGAAGGAAATGTTGATTCAAAGAGTGCAGTGCCTTCCAGGGCTCATATGGGGAGAGGCGGTCTCAAAGACTTGCAGACCCCTGGCCGTATAGGGCTTTAAAGGTAAGAACCAGCACCTTGAAATGGATCTGGTATTCAGTAGGCAGCCAGCACCAGGCGGGTCTGGGCCCACACAAGCAGCAACATTAGCACCTGTGCTGCTACGTTTTGCACCAGCTGCAATTTCCAGAGCAGAGTCAAGGGCAGCCCTGTCAAAAGTCCCTGTCCCAACCCCAGGTAAGGACTTTTGGTTACAAAGGGGTGCAGCAAAGCAAAGTTACAAAACACCAGAGACAGACTAAATCTCACCCTAGTCTTGGTAGGTGCCACCAGTCCTTTCAGTCTATCCCAAGAACCCAGGAGGGAAAGAACAAGTCTCCTGGCTTCTCAGGGAATTAACAAGAAAAGTCAGCCCTGCGGAGTGGGACTGCAGCCTGAGTTTCCAAACACAAACCAAAGGCCAAGGCTCTGGATAAAGGCTTTGAGGTCAATGAAGGCAAAAACCATGCCAGAATCAAAATATAACTATTTATTTAAAATGCAAAAATATTCAAAAAAGACAAGACAGTGAAGGAAATAAAATAATTGAACCTAAGCTTTTCCAGCATAGCTAAAACATAGAGTCAAGGTTCCAGTTACCATTTAGGTTCATCACAGGCAGTTAGTTCCAGCCAGACAAGATGATCAGGCTTTAGCCCTTCCAAACAGCAATCAAGTGGGATGCCAAGTCGGGAGCTGTACGGCCACTGACATGCTTCAATGCCAAGTGGTCACCCAGCTCTGCACTGTGTAGCCATAGTGCAAAGACTAACTAGATTTATAGAGAGGATCTCTGATTGACCTCAGGCCTGTTAGACCAATCAGAAACCAGAGAGATGATGTACCTCTCTGTATGTTGCTAAGCATGTGACATCCAAGGATGGACTAGAGGGGGAGAGAAACGAAACCATTCTGCAGCTAGGTCCGTCCCGCCTGTTCCCACACAGGTGCCCCTAACATCAGTTACTTGAAATGTGCTAATTGGAAGGACCAGGGGAAGATGGTACTCCCTAGCACTTCAGCTGCAAACAATTTAACTGGCAAGGTCACTGTGTTCCGACTGTCTCTAACTGCCTCTGGGAAGATTCCTGTAGGCCTGTCTGCAGCCTGAACCAAATATTTTCTTTCTCAGAACAAAGCAAGGAACCATTGTAGAGAGAATTGCAATAATCTAGCCTGGAAGTGACCATTGCATGGATCACCGCAGCCAGGTCACACGGGGTGAGATACGGGGCCAACTGCCTGACCAGTGTCAGATGGAAAAAGCCTGATCTGGCTATGGCAGTGACCTGGACCTCCAAACACAATGAAGCATCCAGGAACACTCCCAGACTCTTTACCTTCGGTGCCAGCAGCAGCTGGGCCCTGCCAAAGGCTGGGAGCCCAATGCCCAACCCTGGCCCCCCATGGTCCAGGTGCATGACCGTCTTCGATGGATCCAACTTCTGTCTGCTCTGCTGTAACCAACCAGCCATGGCCTGTTTTTCAGATAAAAGAGATGCAGTTATGAAAACAATAGTAATAATAGTTTCAAATATACCCTGTTAGAAGACTTTAGGCTGCATTCCTGTTCACGCCTACTTGGGAATAAATCCACAGAATACAGTGATTGTTCAGTTGCATTGATATCATGCTTTTCTTCCATCATAGAAATTCAGGTGAGTTGCATGGGATTCCCAAGAGGTCCTGTACACGTACTGGCCAGCCCCAGACCTGTTTAGCATCTGCAAAGTTGCTGTATCATGTGCCCTCCAACCATACCCAGTGGAGCATACTTCTAAGTAAACAAGGATAATCACAGATGTAATCTCTTGTAATTTACCAGATAAATAATGTCCTATATGTTGTACTAGGTTTGCCGGTTTGCCCAGAGCTAACGAGAGAAAACATCCCAAAGACCAAAGATGTGGGACACTTCCTTTCAGTCACTGGGACCGTTATTCGTGCAAGCCTAGTGAAGGTCCTGGAGTTTGAACGAGACTACATGTGCAACAAGTGCAAACACGTGTTTGTGGTCAAGGCTGATTTTGAACAGTACTATACTTTTTGCTGTCCATCAACCTGCCCTAGTGAAGAAGGCTGCAACTCATCTAAGTTCACTTGTCTCTCAGGAACATCGTGCGCTCCCAACAGCTGCAGAGACTATCAGGAAATCAAGATTCAGGAACAGGTTTCAAAAATACTTAACTCCATTTCTTTTCTGGGTACTAATTTGCTTCAGGAATTAGTGGATAAGCTCTGTTTTTCTCTTTTTGACATTAGCTATGCCACAAGTTGTAGTTCTGCACAGTAAAATCTGAGCTTGCTTGACAGATAAATCAGGGCTGGAGATGCTGCCTTTTCAACTGATGAGGGATATGGTTACCCATCTACCCACCTTCAGAACTCACATTAGGAGTGTGGGATTTTAAAAGCAGATAATTGTAGAGTTGGGCTACTGGGAGCTGGCAGTCAGGCTTGCTCAAATTGGCAAAGTGCCTAAACAAATTCTGATGCATTGGTGGCTGCTTTGGCCAATGTACTAGACTGGATGCAAGTGTAGAAATTATTCCAAATGCTGTTTGCGCTTCTGCCTGCAAGAGCACAGTAAGCTTCAAATATACAGTGATGAAAGAGCACAGTAAGCTTCAAATATACAGTGATGAAATGTCATTGAATTTTTCCTAAAGGACCAAAGCAGTACAACAATCATCACTGTATTTGTCAATAAGTATTTTCCCTGCCGTTCCCTGTTACTTCAAATTAGAAGGCATCTAGCCCGTAGCTACAGTGGGGCTTTTGGAGGCTCTGCCCCCTTCCTTAAAGGGCCAGCCCACAAGATTTCGGGGGGGGGAGAGAAATTTTAATTATTGTTTTAACATTTTTAAAAGGCTGTAACTAACCTCACACACGTCAGTTGGTGTGCACTGCTGCAAAGGGCTATGTGTGATACCAGGAGATTACTGCTGCTGCTGGAGACTTGTGATTCCTCTTAGCATTTACACACAAGAGTTTTGGGTGTTCAAAACACACTGTCAGCATTACCGTGGCAATAAAAAAAAAATTATGTCCACTGAGGTTAACTGATGTAAAGGCTGTACAACTGAAATCCCTATGCAGTCACATGGGCTAAAGTCCCTCAGTGGTGCTTTCTTCTTGCGTAAACAAGCAGAGGTGACTGGGAGGAAGCTGTAAAGCATCCTTGTGAGGGGGAAAGGTAGGGATACACAAAAGAAAGGCAATGTCACACTGTCTTCCTTGGGCTGAGGATGCCTTCCCCTAATTTCAGCTCTCCCTTAGGGAGTCACCAACATGCCCAGTTGGGAGCCCACCCTCTTTTTCCTGGTCTACAGAGGCTTATTTTTCACTCCCACAAGGCAAGGCTTGCTCCGTGTCCCTCCCCATAGCCATTGCCCAGGTTCTGGATGTCATTCCAGGTGGGATAATTAAGAGGTTGAAGCTGGTGAGGAGCTGAAAAGACGCTATGAGGTTACACCTAGTTTTGCTCCCTTGCGCTGGCCTCTCTTTGAGCCTTGGTGAGTGAAGGAAGGAGGGAGGTTGATGCCAACAGACTGTGCTCCCGCTGGCTTGCTCCCTCCATGATCTTTGTTCCCTCAGGTACACTCGGGGTTCCTGTTCAGGAACACCTGCCTCAATTCCCTGCTTTAGCCCCACCAAAAAAAAATTTCCCCACAAGCCACAAAATCCTGGCTACGGGGCTGTTAGGCATGCTTTAAGTAAGCTGTGAATAATAGCACCATTCAGTGTTGCAATCTAATTACTTTTTTCCCCCCAGATAACTTTACCACAAATATTGAGAAATGTGAATTAAATCATTCAATTTAATACACCTAAAATACTTATGATTAAAGACAAGTTTCATTGTTGCTGTGGCCAAAATTTCATGGAAAATTTCACACTTATTTGCATGCTTCTCATAGAAAAAAGATGAAGCTTTTCTTTCTATGCAGAAAAATAAAATGGTCACATTTAGGTGGTTTTGCATTAAAAATAGAGAATTCTCAGGCAGGTAATATGATGTATGAAATCCATAACAAGACCATAGCTTTGGAAACTAGTTTTTGTAGCGCATATCCAGGATCTGTTTGCAATGTGTATTGGCTTAAAACAGGCTAATAAATGGGTACTAAACCTGGTTACCTCTGTAAGCAGGAATCTCTTCCCAATGACCAGCAATGACAGATTTGCAATTTGGCCACAAACCGCTAATGCATAAATTGATGAGTAGGCAGGCTAGCGGCTCCTGTAGATTTATTTGCAAGACTGGCATACAGGATGGCCAGCGGATTCCCTTTTTAAAAAATATTATTTTTGCCATCTAGGTTCAAAGGCTAGCAGTTGGTAGTATCCCTCGTTCCATGATAGTTATCCTTGAAGATGACTTAGTTGACAGCTGTAAATCTGGTGAGCTCTTTTTCTGATTTCCTTTATAAAATGTCTTCTTTTTCTAGGACTGTACTTATTTGGAGAAAGCAAACTACTAGTGTTTTTTCTAAATAGTGTTGTTCCTATTGAGAACTTGTCTGACAGCATAAATGTCTATGTCATGTTACTTTGTTGGTGTTAAAATCATTGTGTTCGTAAAAGATAAAAATGTCATAGCATCAAATCGTACAACTTTTGCTATTTGTGACATTTTCAAGTCCCTACAGTCTGTTTTGAAATCTCTCACAGTTTATTCTGAAATGTTCCTCGAGTATTATATCCACATGTTAAGACAAGCATTACTACTATGGCGGTGTGGTAAAAATCTTTGTTTCTCCTACAGGATAAAATGCTGATTTTAAAAAATCGTATTTAGAAAAAATTTAAAACCTGCATCTGAACATGCTTCTGTGTTAAAATTTACAAATTAAAAATAATAAAAATAATTTAAAAAGTAAGCCATAGTGGCTTAGAGGTTAAGACACTGAGCTGCAGTATGGAAGATCTGTAGCTCAGCAGTTCGAGACCCTAGTGCCGCATGATGGAGTGAGCTCCTATCTCTGGCCCCAGCTCCTACCAACCTAGCAGTTTGAAAGCAAGAAATTGCAAGTAGATAAATAGGTACCACTTCGGTGGGAAGGTAACAGCATTCTGTGCACCTTGGTATTTAGACATGCCAGCCACATGACCACGGAAACGTCTTCGGACAGCACTGGCTCTTTGTCTTGGAAACTGAGATGAGCACCGCCCCCTAGAGTCGGATTCAACTAGCTTTCGAGCAAGGGAAACCTTTACCTTTTTTAAAGAAACGGTTGCAAAAAAAAATCTTCTGATTGATCATCAGGTCATCAGTCTTATTGTCAACTTGATTGTATCTGGTTTCTTTAGCTGTTAAACAGATTGTTAGCAGTCACCAAACAGAGTTAATCATGGGAGAGGTGTAACATTGTGGATTCTGCAGAGCTCCAGATGGACCAAAGGCCTGTCTCAGCATAAGGCAGTTTTATGTGGTCTAGCTGTGTGATCCCTTCACTACTATTGTGACCAGTCTTGTTTTTATTCTCAGGTGATGACATAACAGTTTATGGAGTAGTAATGCAGAGGTGGAAGCCTTTTCACCAAGATGCACGTTGTGATGTGGAAATTGTCTTGAAGGCCAATTATATTCAAGTGAACAATGAGCAGCTGGCAGGACTTATAATTGACGAGGAGGTCCGCAAGGAATTTGAAGACTTTTGGGGAAAACATAGGAATGATCCCTTAGCAGGTTTGTAGAGAAAGATTTTAAAAATAGCACACTCAGTTAAACACCACTTTTGTGGTGTCTGTCTCCTCCCTGTTGAGCCATATTCCCTGGTGATTTAGATCTGATTTCTGGGGTGCCTGAATTTGTAAGGATTCATTTCTTTTTCTTTTTTTTTAATAATTATGTTTATTGGGTTTTATAGGCCTATAACATACACATATACAAGATTATCAACAACAGTGCATACATACCAACATCTTATATCATATTTCCTTTTTCTAAACAACACAGAGAAACATATTACACCTAACTTCCATATCTGATAGTTTCCCTTAATTTCCCATTTCTATATCTGATCTGTACTGACTAAAAGTTCATATTTCTAAATCTTTTTGAAGTAGTAAACTGTCAAGTCTGAACTTACCCTAGAATTCATATCTATACCTCTGTCAATATGCAATGTTCTAAAGCCCGTCTCCCATATCTTGTCAATTTTGTGCTTTTGTTATAGGGGTTTGAATTCATTTAGAGCTTAAATCTCCTCTTAGTATTTTGTTCATTGCCTTTCTTACTACATTTTCTTTTTAAACATGGATTCCCATTAAACTTTTTGATTTAATCTTGGACTAACCTACATTTATTCATTACCATGGGTAATATTAAACATTAAACCTACTTGTAACTCTGCCTTACCTCCTAACTAATGCCAAAAACAACTTTAGTATATACCTCATAATCACCCTTATTCACCACAATTAGGAATAATATAAACACCAAGAGAGAAAAAAAGAAAGACATTAAGGAAAATTACTATAACACATACATTATGTAATAATAAACAAATAAGTTACTGAAGCAGTACCTCCTTTTACTAACCTTCTATCTTATCCAATCCACTTTTCCATTCTTTCAAATACATTACCCCTACATTAAATTGCCAATTCATTGTATTTAAATATAATTAATTTCATTCTTCTTTAGAAACATTTGATCTCTTAAAACCTTAGATTCTTTTTAAATATTTCATTCAATACCCAATCCCTGATCATCTTTATATACATTTCAACTTATAATTTATAACATTTAAACATTTCATCTTATACCCCTTTTTGACCCATCTAGCTATTCCCTTACTCAATCCTCCTTAATCTCTTTTCCCCCCTATATAAAAATACATACACCTCCATTTTACCACCAATTATCCCCTATCCTTTACCCATAAATAAATTCAAATACATACAGACATAATGCCTCAAGCAGAGGTACAAGCATACACAATACCCACTGCCACAATACATCATACATCAGCCAATTTCAGATCCGTTTTCCAATTTTATCCATAGCAGAAAAAGAGCACGATGTTCCCTTTTCATATCTCTTAGCTTTCCTCCTAGACATTTGCAGCTTCATTTTCCATTTCAACATGTCCACATGCCTGCGTTCCTTACACGCTCCTAAACCTCTACCTCTTTTCCTTCTGTCTTTCAGTTCCTCCTTATTCCAGGGGCTAGTGACAAATTTAAACTTCCATGCCCGTCGCTTCTTTCTTTGGATCTTTTTCTCTTTTCCTCGTCCCATTTTAACACAATGTCTATTTTCTTTTGCCCATCCTCCTTTCAAACCAAACAGCTGTCTCTTAGGATCTACTACTTCACTTAGGAGGTCTCTCGAATCCACACAGTCCTCCACCTTGATTTCCCCAACACCGTCCTTATTATCTACTAAATCATCTTCACGCGACTCCCTCACAATCATTAACCCCTGTTTTTCCTTTCCTTCTATATCCGCATGCACAATGTATTCCTTCTTTATCTCCTTGCACGCTTCTTCGCATCCTCTCCTCACCGCCTCTTTTATAGCTCTTATAAACTGTTCCAGATCTGTCTCTCCAACTCCCAGGTTTTCAACCATTTCTTCCTCATTGGTTCCAATACGCTCCATCTCGTTCAAAACTTCACTTGCAACACACAAAACTGTCTTGTCACGATATATTTTTTTTGCTCCTTCCTTATTTCACAAAACATAGCACCCGACCTTCAGTTCTCCTTACCCCCGCTGAATATCAAATTACAGTTACGTCTTGTATATCTCCCGGCCACTTTATTTCACCTCCTTGGACGCCGAAAATTTGGGGGTATTTTGTTGCTTTCCAGCCACTTACACTCCTTTCGTTTTCAGTCCAGACTCTTTTCGCTCCTCCACGCTCCTCCGCGCTGTTTTCTTAGTCAATTTCGTTATGTTTAAGTTAAAAGCAAAACCGGGTGGCTGCGTCTTTGCAAAAACATGGCAGCCATGTTTGCTCCGTCGCTCGCTCCTGCTTCGGGGCGGTTTATGGGCACCCCCCGCATTGCCGAGTGCGGGAGGGGCCACAAACAAAAGCCCCCTGCTCCAGCCTGCCCTCCAGGCCTGCTGGTCGGGTACCCCCGAAACCGGGAGCCCCGATAGAGAGACGAACGTGGTCAGGTGGTTCAGCGTTAGCCGAAACCCGCCCGTCGACACGCCATACCGGAACCGGATCTCAGGATTCATTTCTTAACATCAGTTGGATCCTGTCTGATTTCTCAGAACCTGTCTCAATAAGGCACTTCTGCAAGAAAGCTCAGGAAATTTCATTCTCTTAAGGACTTTTCTGCACTATCAGTTGTTGGCTGTAATGTACTTATTTGATTCCTGTTTGTTGGATGCTTTCTGAAAGCCACTTTTATAGTAACAATTGGGTTATGGGAATATCACAGTTCTCCCTCTGAGGTGGAGGACATCTCCATGGGTTATTCCCACTGTGCCTTTAGGGAGGCAGGAAATACTTTTCTCCACTTCCTGTTGGCGCCTTCGGAATAGCCCATCCCCTCAGTTCTGTTCCTGCCTCTGTAGGGATTAGCAGCTGTAGAATAGGCTTAGCCTCAATTCTCCATTCTTTTTCTGTCTAACTTTTCTTCCTTCACCTTGTCTTTCCTTCCATTGACTATCCTTCTCTCCCTTTTCCTCCCCTTGCTGCTTCTTCAGAGCAAAGACAAGCCAGCTGCCGCGAGCCTTGGAGATCCAAAGGCTTGGAGTTTTTCCCCCTGCCTGAATGGCAGTGACAGAGCTCCCCAGCAGCTTCTCATGGGGGAGGAAGGAGAAGAAGCAGACGTGTGCACTGCGGAAGCAGCTGTGGCACGAGTCATCGGTGGGGTCAACTTGCCCTCGAGGCTTGTTTGTGCTGCCTCAATAGAAGCGGCTGATCCAGCAGAGCACCACTGGCAGCCATTGGAAGAGGAGTCCGCCTTTTCATCAGGGCGCTACCAGCCCGCTGGTGGCCATTCTGGACTCTGGAGGTGCAGAACTTGGCTCTGGCACCTTCCAGGCTTCATTCTAGGCACGTGGGGGAGTGGAGGGAGCAAATCAGACCTCCCATCCAGATCTTCCCAAGCCCGAGAGAGAGTCAGGAGTTGCTCTTCAAAGGGGTAATGTAACTGCAGCTGGGGCCATAATTGCTTCCTCAGACCTCGTGATCCTCAGGCAAGCCATGCAGCAAGAAATCTCCACCTTTTGCAGTAGGGTGGGGATCACCAGCCAGGGGGCATGTTCCTCGCAGGCCACCCCTCCTCTGTTGCCCAATACGTGGCCCACCAAGGCAGCCCAGAAGACCCCTCCTCCACACCACAGGAGGGTAGGGGGGGGCAATAGGATGAGGAGGAATCTTCTGCATCCATCCTGGATAATAGGGAGGAGGGAGAATTTCTCTGTGATGATGAGGAGGAAGAGATCAAGGTGCCTGAACAGTCCAGCCATTTCTTCAAGGCTGAAGACTACCATTCCCTTCTAACTAATGCAATCAAGGCTTTAGAGCTTCAGGACTCTCCCCTATCTGAAGACCAAAAATCCTCCAGGTCCAAATTCAAATCTAGATCCAGGGGGAACTCTGATTTTTTTTCTCCAGAGGAAAATGTTGAGAAAGTTTTTCCATTCCCTGAGTACTTTGAGCATCAATTGAGGGTGGAATGGGACAGACCCACAGCGAATAAGCAGTTTCCAGCATTTGTGAGAAAGCTCTATGCTTTACCTAACTATGCCAATGAGTTGTTACAGGTATCTCCAGTGGACAGACCACTAGCGGCACTCCAAACAGCTGGCCTGCTGTCAGAAGATGGTCAGGGCGCGATCCGAGACCCCACTGATAAGAACGCGGAAGCAGCACTTAAAAGGATCCATGAGGCAATTGTCATGATGATGAAAGCAACTTCCACAGCCTCTATTGCCTCCAGAACAGTCATCGTTTGGATTTGTAAATTAATTCAACTCCTGCCAGAAGACAACTGCAATCTCTTGGAGGGAGCCATTCGGATCCTCAAGGCATCACAGCGGATGCCACCCCAGATATTCTGACCTTTGCTTCATGGGCTATGACATCTGCAGTGACCAGGAGGCTGCTCTGGTTAAGGACCTGGCAGGCTGATTCCCTCTCTAAGTCCATCGTCACGGCTTATCCTTTCCAAGGATCTGTTCGTGGATGTTTTGAACAAGATCCTAGTTGAGACACAGGACAAGAAGAAAGCTATGCCCAGGTCCATACGGCATACTCAGAGATGAGGAAGTTTTTCCTTTCGCACTCAATATTCCTTGGCAAGATTTCATCAGGATGCCAAGAAAACCACCTGGGAGTCTTCGTAACCCTCATCCAAGTGGGGTTCCTATGGATCTCGATTCCACAAACCTGCCTTCAACAAGACCAACAGAGACACCAAACCCAAGCAACTGGAGGACCTTCCTGTACAGGGCCAGTGGTGTCAAGCCGAAGTGTGTCTACCCATCAGTCTGTTGGAACTCAGAGCCATTCATTATGCCCTGAATCACTTCAGCCCCCACCTTCGAGGACACCATGTTTGGTTCAGATGGACAACATCTCAGCCAAAACCTACCTCAATAAGCAGGGTAGTTCCTGGCCCACACAGCTGCACAGAGAAGCAATGAAGATACTGGCATGGGCCAAGAGGAACTGCATTGCTAAACACATCAAGGGAGCAGACAATGTACAGGTCGACTGGCTCAGCAGGGAGACCATTCACGAAGGGGAATTGGCCCTGCACCTGGAACTATTCAGCCAGCAAACAATCAGCTTCCGCGATTCTTCACCTGGTATTACCACCAAGAGGCGGAAGCGACAGATGCTTTGACAGCGCCATGGTCCAATGGTCTGCTCTTTGCCTTTCCGCCATTTCCATTGATATCCAGAACCATTTGGAGAATCAAAGAACTGAGAGCAGAGGTGATCCTAGTAGCTCCCCTGTGGGCACACCGGCCGTGGTTTTTGGCTCTGAGGGACATGGCAGTCAGCCCACCATTGACTCTCCCGGTGACTCCGGACATGTTGCTTCAGGGGCCGATATGGCATCCCCATCCGGACTGGCGGTGCTGGAAATTGAACAGAGGAATCTCAGGTTGCTCAGCTGAAGCTCGAACCCTTGTCATCTTCAGTGGCGTCTCTCTTTGCCTTTCTTGGCTTGGATTCTGGGCTGAAACCTTCTACCCTGCACAGACAGGTGTTGGCTCTCTCTAAGTTGCTACCTCCCATGGGTGGTTACAAGGTGACCAAGCATCCTCATGTCCAGCTTTTTCTACAGGGTGCAACCATCAAATCTCCGCCTCAGGTTCATCATTTCCCGACGTGGAGGTTACACACCATTTTGGCAGCACTCACTAAAGCACCTTTTGAACCACTACAGGATATCAGTCTTCGGTGGTTGAGGATAAAGACACTGTTTCTGGTAGCGATTACCTCTACGAGATGGGTCTCGGAGCTTAATGCTCTATCAGTCAAGTCCAGGCTCTGTATTTTCCACAAGAATAAGGTCATACTTCACACGCATCCTACCTTTCAGCCAAAGGTATCGTCTACTTTCCATCGATGACAAGAAGTATATTTGCCAACCTTCTGCCCTCATCCAAGGCATCCTAAGGAGTTTGTGTGGCACACTCTTGATGTTAGAAGAGCGCTCAAGATTTATATCGCACAGACAGAGTCCTTCAGGAAGATAGATTCCATATTTGTAAATATCTTCCCTCCATGGTTATGGAGATAGGATGTCCAAGACTCCTATCAGCACAGTCCTCAGGTCTTGTATTGCGGAAGCCTATAAAGCCACAGGGTTAGAAGTTCCCAAGGGCATTAGGGCTCATTCTCTATTAAATGTTTCCACCAATGCTGCTTTTTCCAACCGAGCTTCGGTGGAAGAGGTTTGCAGAGCAGCAACATGGTCGTCCATATCTACCTTCGTTCGCCATTACAAGCTGAACACCATGGCCTCAGCCGATGCAGCGTTTGGAAGAAGAGTTCTTCGGCACATTGTGACGTCAGCAGACAGATGACCCACCCAAATGAGGGACATTGCTCTGGGAGGTCCCATGGAAATGTTCTCCACATCAGAAGGAGAACGGCCTATTGGCACTTACTGTGAAGAGTCTTTCTCCTCTGAGGTCAGGAGGACATCTCAGCCCTCCCATCTTCATTATCATTTCTTTTCCTTTGTACTGTTCTGTTCTTCTTGATCGATCTTATTAACCTTGTTTCTTAATGTTGGCAGTTCATGTTCAGGTTAACTGTTGTGTTACTACAGTGCAAGGCCATTAGTTTTACTTCTCACTCACTGCTTTCGGAGTCCCAGAACTGAGGGGATCGGCTATTCCGAAGGCACCAACAGGAAGTGGAAAAAAGTATTTCCTGCCTCCCTAAGGGCACAGTGGGAATAACCCATGGAGATGTCCTCCTGACCTCAGAGGAGAAAGACCTTTATGGCCAATGGGCCATTTCTAAAACTTCAGAGTGCTAACATTTACACTTGGGATAAATGCAACCCTTTATCCCATTATCATTGTGTACACTGTGGCTGCTCAAGTGACATGGACACTTCCTGGAAATAATTTCTGAACTCATTATTCACCCCTCTTATGCCTGCCATGTAGTGGTTATCCTGGGACAGTTGTCAGATATTGGACTTCTGATAATTTTGCCATTTGTCATTGACAGGCACCGTTGTAAAGATATCGTACCTACCATATTGTGGAGATGACTCATAGTTCCATGACATAGTGTGTAGTTTGCTTGCCAAAGGTGCCATGTTTAGTTCTCTGTTGTTAATGTGAAATGTATGACATCTAGTTAATTTCACAGTGATTGTTATTTTAAGTGATAGGCATCGGTGAAGGGGTGGTATGAGGAAGAGAGTCATTCTTTTATAAGCTATCCTGGTTTGTACTGTACTGTGTATAGTTCTGATTTCCATATCTGAAAAAGGATATTGCGGAGCTGGGAAAACAGCAGAAGTGGGCAACCAATATGATTAAAGGGTTGGAGCACCTTTTCTAGGAGGGTAGAGAAAGCGGACAGACAGAACTTTTTCTTCCTCTACCATAACAGTAGTCCTCAGGGGCATCCAATAAAGTTGATGGGTAATAGGTGCAGGACAGACAAAAAGAAATACTTCTTTACTGAATGAATAATTAAATTGCAGAATTCACTGGCAGTGGATCTAGTGATTGCCATGAGCATAGACAGCTTTTTAAAAAGGTTAGACAGAGTCATGGAGAATAGCTCTGTGACGACCCCTTAACTGGGGAGGTCTGGTTTTACTTTAAAATGTTCTTTCTGTTTTGTTTTACTCTGTATATCCGGCTGCCACCAGGAAATTTTAAGGCTTTCCAAACCTTTATAATATAATATTTTTTTTTCTACTGGGTAGGTAGGTCGGGTCTTTAGGCTTTCAAGGGACTATGTGTTCCTCAGGATGTATTTATTTCAGAGCTGGTATACTTGAATGAAATAGGATTTATTTAAATAAAGCATAAATACGAGGGTAGAACCATGTAACTAGTAAAGTAGGTATAACACACAGTTTGCTCCGTACTGACAGGGATTTTTCATAGGTAACTTTGTAACACTTTTCCTTCAAGTCCATATAATCTTTACTGTTTCCTAGACTCTCAGTTTTCAGCTTATAACTCCTATAACACAGAACTGAATGTCTCTCCTTTCACACACAAATATTTAACTCAGAACTCTTATATCATACAAGACTGCTTCACTCTTTTCATACACAGGACCAACTTATCCCACACAGGGATGTGTCTCCTTCTCTCAGAGACAGAACTTAACTGACTGCCTGTTTAACTGTCCTAATCAACTGTCTAAACTGTAACTCTTGACTGACATACAAATCATCCACACAACATCACTTCCAAAACCCCTCCCCCTTTCTGCCAATCACCAATCACACCACTTGCCTGTTTCAACCACCCTAGACTATCTCTCATCGCCATGCAACCAAACTTTTAAAGACACACACACACACACAGTTAAACATGAAATCATTACAAGCTCCATCAATGGCTGCTAGCCCTGATGAGTAAAGAGAAACCTCCATTTACAGAGGCAGCAAACTTCTGAATTACCAGTGCTGGGAGGCAGCATCAAGGGAGGGCCTCAGCTTCTATGCTCTATTTCTTTGGCCCTCCAGGGCAACTGATGGGCAGCTGCATCAAGCGAGTTGCCGGACTAGATGGATCATTGGTCTACTCCAGCAGGACTTTTCTTACGTTCTTGTCCAGGCTGTGGCATGTGAAAAACAGGCGTATGTCTAGTTGTTCAGCTGTAGATATTGCTTTGTCTGTATCTTGGTGGTGCTTACTTGACCAAGGAAAGAAAATGGAAGCTGACACATACATGTGATATGTACGATACATTGTTGCAACAATCTAGAGTTCCATGTGGCATCAGGTATGTATAATACTCTTGCACATACAAGGGTTCCCTTTCCCTTCGGAGAAGTGACCTTACCTGTGCAGATCTTCCATCTAAATTAATGGAGGAAAAAGCTCTTGGTGGTGATAGAACTCTACGTATGTGTCAGAGCTCTCATCCATAACTGGTCTGTAGTCTTTCTGTGATCTTTTCTCACCATCAATCAGAACTAAACCTTTAAGGACTGTAATTTAATCCAATCTCTAAAAGTTTATCAATGGTACTACTTGGTTTTTCTTTCCTCTTTCCAGGAAGGAATGAAATTTTAGCAAGCTTGTGCCCTCAGGTTTTTGGGTTGTATCTGGTGAAGCTGGCTGTAGCCATGGTGCTTGCAGGAGGTGTTCAGAGAACAGATGCTGCAGGCACTCGAGTTAGAGGTCAGTATATAAAATCCTCTCCTGAGCCTGTTGAGATCATGGTTTTTCCTTTTCCTTCTTTTCATATCATATGGGATTAATCTACAGCATATTATAAAATACAGTGAGCACAAACTTTGATTCTTATAGCAATGAGTATCAAGGCATTTGCTATGTAACTGATAATAAGCAATTCTTACCGAGTAAAACTGGAGTTTAAATACTGCAGTTTACAGGGTCTACATGTGTTCAGTTCTGTACATGTCTATGCATACAGTACTTTACACACCAAGCATGTAGGCAGATCTGGTCTAGGGAGCAGTGAATGCACAGAGCAGGCAGATCTGACCCTTTCTGCCACAATGTGCATTAAAATATACAGGTTCAAGTACACATGAAAAGGGTTTTAATTTGTACAATAGGATGTTGATGGGCACCACTTCAGATGTCTGCAGCTTTACTATGTCTTTGGTTGTGCTACTGAATGATTGATTTCATATAAAGTTACCACTTTAGCAAAAATGTCTATATTTTTTGTTCTTCTGCAAGGTGAATCTCATCTTTTATTGGTTGGAGACCCTGGGACAGGGAAATCTCAGTTTCTGAAATATGCTGTAAAGATTACCCCGCGATCTGTACTTACAGCAGGAATTGGATCCACAAGTGCAGGTAAATGCTGATGACGTGATAATGCAGAGGGAGCATACTAAAACAGGTGAAAAGAATACACACACACCCCAAGCCCAGGAGCAAGAGCCACATTTGTAGGTTTGCATACCAAAACCCCACCCATTCTGATGGAAGGAAATGATCAGTATTTAAATTCTAAAAATATCTCACACCATCCAGCCCCAACGTGCTCCACTTTCTAGGGTTGCCAGATACCCAGTCTGGCTAGGGGATTCCCCAGTCTTTGGGGCTCCAATCCGCTGCTGGCTGGCAGGGGAAGCCCCACCCTGAAGAGGCCCATCGCACGTCAATGTGGTTGGCGCAATAACATCACACAGAAGTGACATCATCACGCTGGGGACATCATGGGTTGACACTCTAGCATTTTGCACCAAAACTCTATGGTTACACTTCCATGTGACATCATCACACCAACGACTTTATGTGCAGCGATGTCACCCTGCCCCCACACTTCCGGGTGGCTCCCTGCCACCAGTACCCGGCAACTCTAACACTTTTTCATGGCCTGCGAAAAATCCCTTCACAACCACCAGTCCCCTTCACCCCATTTGAGAACCCCATTGCTACCGGACCTCAGCTGCCCCATATTTTTCTAGTGTAAATATCGCCATTATTCTCACTTTTTCATTCTCACCCTCTCCATAGCTGAAAGTTTTCACAATATACATCCTGCCTGTTTCTTGGCTCCTATGCTTCTGTCTTAAATAAAGTGGGATTGGGGGAAAGCTGCTGTTGAAGGCAGGTAGTAGCAGCCACTCGTTGATCAGCCAGCTCTACTGCTAAAGGCATAGGTCCCTCATCTTGAAGGTGGTTCAGTAATCAGTGACGTAGGATGCTACAGACTGCATTTGGGGTCCCTCAAACAAAACAACCTTTTTATGTTAAATATTCCATTTTAACTAGCTGATTTTTAGTTAACTTTTAACCTATCTCTAAATATAACATGGGGAGAAGTCATTGCTCAGTAGAACCCATGTTTTGTGTGTTGAAAGTGTGTTTTTACCCCACTAATAGGCTTTTCAGTTTTTTTAAAAAAAATCTTGGAGAACTGCTGCCAAGAGAATTATGCTGGCTAGATCAGCAGTATATAGTGGCCTGCCAGTGACTTAATAACCCCACAATTTGGAGGCTGGAAAAAATGGGAGGTCACTCACTTGGCGAACCATGCAAAATGTGGCTTGTAGGCTGTATTCAGCTTGATAAGTGTGCTGTTTTGGTCATGCAAGACTCTTCTGGATAAAAACAGAGTTGTGTTTGATGTGTTGGAATTAATGTGAAACCAGTTCAGCAAAGTTTGCAGCCTTCCTCCAGCTTAAGTAGTTCTTCTGTTGGGGGGAAAGCTCCTAAAGTGGGGAGAGGGCTTCAGGTTTTGCTCAGATCTACTGAGCCACACACACCCAGGTCTCTGTGCGTAAGGAGATTTGGAGCTTGTTTCTCAAACAGCAGTCTCCCTCCCCTTCTCTGAGTTCCTTGTACCTTACTAACATTAATTGGGAGGGTGGGGGAATACTGCTAGGATAGCCATCTGGATCCTAAACTAAATTACATGTTTTAAAAATGTGTGTTTTAACCACAGACAGGCATTTACTATAGTCAGAATAGATGCAATTTAAAATAATAATCTTGTGTACATATGTAACAAATGGGAATGTCTACTAGAACTCTAATAATATACATGCCTCCTCTCTTGCCATTTATATTAACATGAGGAGTATAAACATTTTAAGAAGTTTAGTATGGACTCAACAGAACATCAGCAAATTACTTAAAAATAGTTTTTATTTATACATCCACTCAAATACTTTTTGTTTCCTTATAAACTTTCTACAGGATATGGGGTTTTGTTTGTTTTTTAAACAAAGTCTTCACATTTTTTGAATAGGTAACTTAAATGTAACTCTAGGAGAGAGGTTCTGGTGCTGGTTGGAGACAGACTGTGTTATGGTGTGGGGGTTCCCCCCTCTTTTTAAACACAATTGAACACATACATAGCACTGAAGGGAAGGGTAATCAGTCACATGCAGTCCATATGAGATTCTAACATAACATTTAGTGAATTTTCTGATGTTGACCACCCTTTTGAAGCAGAAGGCAATGCATCTGTAGAAAGGAGTGACTGGAGGTTTGGATTGCTGCTCTCTGCATCTGTCAGCTTTTCAGTGTTGTCCTCCCAGTTAATGTGGAATCTTGTGACCCTGGGGTTAGATGCCAAAATGTTCCTCTGTAGCTGGAAAACAAGGTTTATTGATGTTTCAGAATTACACTAATTCAGGATTTTAAAGCAGTCATAAAATTTCAGGACTGGGAAAGGAAAATGAAGCTTTTGCTATTTTAAAATGGCACTACTTTTAATCTTCAGTTCTGTGTAGTAAACAGTCTTATGTGGAACTTTACAGAAAATGCTGACAGCACAGACAGAAAATAAGGCAATTCTTCCCTTCCACACTGTTTTGTGATATATAAAAGTGTATAAAGGATAAGGACTAGGGCAGGAATGAGTGCTGCCACCTTCCAACCACATGAAACATAGTAGTCTGACCCAGGGGTCATTTCGTAGAAAAAGAGCTAGGGGAACTCATTAGCATAACTCATTAGCATATGCCACACCCCCTGACATCAGGGGCCCGGCGGTGGACCTGCAAGGCCGGTGGGAGTGCGAGGAAGCCCCGCCAAGGCCCTCCCTGGCTCCAGGCAGGCAGGGGTGGGGAGAGGCGGGGAGGAAGCAACTTACCCTCCCTCTTCTCCTGCCTCCTCCTGGCTGAATGAGGGCCGGAAGCGGGGCGGCTGGAAGCAGGGGGCGGGGCTTCATCATGTGCCCCGCCCCCCGCACCTCACCCGGGGAAACTGCGTTCCCCCGCGATCCCCCCCGAAATGACCTCTGGTCTGACCTCACCTCAATCCCACAGTTATTTCATACAACTACCATACAGGAAACTACTGGAAACTCAACTGAGTGAGGGTTTCACCGAGTGGCAGGGCCACTCAGGACGTTCAGCAATTCCAAGCTTAATTAAGCACCTTATAGCTGGTGGTAGCAGTATAGCAAGATTCCTCGTGGAAGGGATACTCTGACAAGCAGTTCTTGCATATTACTGCTGTTGTCATACAATGGCTACTCTCCCAGGGCATTCATAACAAGAGTATCAAGCTTTGTTTTAGAGTATGCTCATTATTTGTTTAGCTTATGCTCGTTATTTGTTTAGTTTATCTGGAATATTTGTATCCCACTTTTCTCCCATACTGAGAACTCAAAGCAGCTTACCAAAAAAAAAAAAAAAGCATAGATATCTCAACAGGCATCCCCCCCCCCAACACAAACTTCAAGCAGGTAGTAAGCCCCAAGTGAAGAGCTGGAGAGTCCTGTGGTTTGTGCCTTTGGCCCCGCCCAGGCTTTAAATTATCTGCAGAGTGCACAAGTTACCTAGAGCAGAAAACAGAGGAGACTAGGCTTCCTACTGTAGCATGTGTGAAGCTGGATTTATGGGTGTATCCTGCAATGAGATTTTTGCTCCCCAGATGCTCTCTGGAGCTTTTCACCGCAAATGAGCCCCAAGATCTTGTTTCAGTCGTCAGAAGCAGGAAGAAAAAATAGTCTATATGCTCTTGTTTAAAAAATTTATATTCCACTTCTGCCCTAACAAGGGCCACCAAGGCAGCTAACAGTTTAGAACATATTAAATCTTGAGGAAGTCCTTAAAACTTATCATGTTTGGTTGTAGAGTCCATGGCTCCACAAGACACAAACCCTTCACCCTGTGCCCCTTGTTTCTGCTGTGTTGATTTAGACATTCTCCTGAACGCTTCTTTTCTTTAGTAATTTGTGTTTTATGGCTCAGATCTTCACACTCCAACAAACAGACTGCAATGTTCTACTGTATGAACTCGTGTCGCACAGAACTGTTAAAACCAATTACAGAAGAACTCTGTGATAGAACTTACTGTCTCAACAAGTTCTGTTATCAAACATTTTAGCTTTTCCAAATGACTTATCTTTTAACCATTCTTTAAGGGGTTGTCTGCTTGTTGAAATGTAAACTGTACATTTTCAGCACACTACCTTCCTTAAACAGCCATATTTTCACAGTTAGTATAGCCATTTTAAAGCACAGTACACTTAATTTTGAATGCAGTCAAGCAACATAATGACTTTACTCTTACTCTGAACAAATAGGAAAAGCAGAATGAGTTAGACATCCAGCTGTAAGTTACAATTAAGTAGGTCAGATTTTCACATTACTGGAGATTTAACACATTTAGGCATTTTGTTTGTGCAAGCTGAAACATTAAAGTTTGAAGAACAAAGAAGCTTTCATCACAAATGCTCTCAGATAATGCTTCTAAAGAAAGTAGTGGTGGTGGAAAGTGCTGTCAAGTCAAAGTTGATTTACAGCAACTCCAGAGGGTTTTCAAGACAAGATGCATTTAGATGAGGTTTGCCATTGTCTTCCTCTATGACCCTGGACTTCCTCAGTGGACTCCCATCCAAATACTAACTAGAGATGACCATGCTTAGCTTCCAAGATCTGATGAGATCAAGCTAGCCTGGGTATTCAAGTCAAGGCCAAACAAAACAATACTGAGTCTTAAACCTGCATGGAAGCCCTGTTGATTCCATAATCCCAGATTCATGCTTATTCTGTAAGGAATGTGTAACATTTGTAACACATGCCTCAGTGGCACAGATTCAGGGACTGAACCCATCGTTAACACACTGAGGGGGTTGAGCATGGATTCAAGTTCAGCCCCAGCTGAACTGCCAGAACTATATTGATTAGATACTAAGGGAGCGCTCCTAAAATGGCCTACTCAGAAGTAAGGCCCATGTTATTCAATGGAGCTTACTACTAGAAAATGCATTAGGATTGCAGCCTCAGTTCAGTAAACAAGCAAGCAAGATGACTCTGGGTTTAAAGTCATCCAGTGCTGGTATGCTGCAAAATCATCCAGTGCTAGTATGTAGATAAACAGCCATTTTAGTAACTGATAGCTGGAAAGGATCCAAAGTAGAGCAGTGTCACTACTTAATAACTCAAGATGAATTCAGATTGACAAAGTCCCTCTCAGATTTCCAAGCCCTCTCAAATTTCTTTTGCATATATGATTTATCAAGTTTCTTATGCAATTTGATTTAAACTTCTGGTGTTATATGACTTACTGATTGTATTCCCTTTGTTTCTTCATTTAAATGAAATCGTATATTGCCAAAATTGAGCATGTCCTACCTTAGAAAAGTCCGGTTTTACAGGAGGATTTTCCCTCAATTCTGTTTCAGTATATTCATTGTTTACATAATAGCCAACTCTAATAAATTCTTGACCTCTGTAAGTGCAGGTGATTAATACAACTGTAACTCCTACAGCATCTGCATCAGGAATTAGTCCTGGATTAGGAGCATCTGCCTGTGGCAAAAAAGGGGGAGGGCAATTAGAAGAGTGTTGGTTAAGGCTCTCCCACTTAAAAAAAATCAAATCATCATATACTTCTAGTTATGGAGATTTGCAGTACAACCATAAGCAGAGTTATACCTGTCAAAGCCCACTGACTTCAATGGACATAGAAGAGCATATCTCTACTTAAGGTGGCACTGTTGATGTAGTACATAAATCATCGAGTGGATAAGTAGCAGTCACATTCAAATATAGAAAACATTTCAATTAAGATTGTCATTTTATTTTTCAGGTCCTAGATTTATTCTGAGTTCACTCTTAATTTTTGTGAGGATTTGTTTTTTAATTCATTTCCTCCCCCCACTCCTCCATGAAATATCTTGAATACAAAATCAGGTACAGACATATTTATATTTGGCATACATGCTATTTTAGCCCCTTCTGCCTTAATTCCTCAACAGCCATCTCACATGCAGAACTACATAAGACCAAGCTAGCCAGGTCCTTGAAGATATGTAACCTTAAAAAGCAGCCAATCTGTGCAATTTGGGTCAAGCCCAGAGTAATGGGGAATGGGAGGTTTAACTTTCTCCCATGCAAGCCATTCTTTCCTTCTCCCTCCTGCTTTTTGCCTCAGTACATGGAAAATACACACAAGTGTCAAGTAACCTTAAAACAGTTCACTTTATTATATAGGTTTCAGATCAAATAATTCATTTAACAATTAGTTGGGAGTTTGTTTCAAATTAATGAGTTTTCTCAACGTTATCCTTGTTCCCACAGCATTTTTTAAAAATAACCCCAAAACTCATACACACACCTTTAAACAGTGCAGGCACTGTTACTCCTGTACTTGCTCCACACCAATTACAGTACATGTAAGAATTTCTCCATGTGATTTATTGTCAGATTAATATACCAAGCAGCTAACACCTAGCTCCTTCAGGGATCCTTTAGGTGCACGGTAGATAATAAAGCCAATGAGAGCCAGTGTGGTGTAGTGGTTAAGAGTGTTGTACTAGTATCTGGAAGACCCAGGTTCAAATCACCACTCATGCTATGGAAGCTTGCTGGATGATCTTAGGCCAGTCACACTCAGCCTAACCTATCTTACAGGATTGTAGTGAGGATAGGGGAATTATGTAAGAAGCTTTAGGTCCCCGTTGGGCAGCAGGCGGGGTAGATATGAATTAAATGTGATTTATTGTCAGATTAATATACCAAGCAGCTAACACCTAGCTCCTTCAGGGATCCTTTAGGTGCACGGTAGATAATAAAGCCAATGAGAGCCAGTGTGGTGTAGTGGTTAAGAGTGTTGTACTAGTATCTGGAAGACCCAGGTTCAAATCACCACTCATGCTATGGAAGCTTGCTGGATGATCTTAGGCCAGTCACACTCAGCCTAACCTATCTTACAGGATTGTAGTGAGGATAGGGGAATTATGTAAGAAGCTTTAGGTCCCCGTTGGGCAGCAGGCGGGGTAGATATGAATTAAATACATTAATCGAATTAATTAAATTAAATTAAAAGCTTTAGAGTACACAAGCACTCGAAACTGTGTGAGAAGCATTTACACAAATGGTATGTACAACATACAGCCATATTAGGGCCCCTGCCACACGGCAGGGGAAAAGCCGCGCCAACGTTGAGACGCCGCGGCGGGATCCCACGGATCCCCTGGCCGCGGCGCCTTTTCTCCCCGGCACGATCAAACGCCGGGGAGAAAACACAGCCCTGACCGGGAGCCGGCTGAACTGCGCATGTCGGAGCATGCGCAGTTCGGCTACGGGCCGGGGTTGTGCCGGCGCAAGGACGCGCCGGCGATCAAACGACCGGCTTGCCGCGCAGCTTCCCGATGAACCACCAAGGTAGGTGGTTGCAAGTTGTGGCGGTTTTTTGTGGGGAAGGGCCAGTTCGGGGACGGAAGCAGGACGCTTCCCAGATGTTGTGGTGTGATCGCGCCGGTTTGCTCTGCCCCTGAACTGTCCCGCTCCCGGCCCAAATCGCCTAGTGTGAACGGGACCAAAGTGAGTCTTTTTTCCTTCTGAAGTAGAAGGAATGTCACTATAATCATTCCCACTTGTGACCAATGCACCTTTATAGTTTGTCAGAGGGTCAGAGATGTGTGCTCCTTAATAGCATAAACTCTTACAGGTATATCCATAACTCTGGTGGAGTTCACATTGGAAGCACTCTGCCCACTGAGAAAGCCACTCATCCCCCACCCCACCACATGCATATGCAGCATAGTTGGCCTGATCAATGTACACCCCTACGAATATCACAGTAAAACAGCTTCTGTTATGAAGAGTTTATATTCTCCAAATCAGTTCACTCTCCTTGTATTATCTACTTTAGCAGCTGTCTCCATACTGGTGCCAAGCTGCTTCTAACCTTATGAGAAGCGGCTATTTGTGCACACTTGTCATAAAATTGGCTATGGGATGTCGTCAAGAAAGCTGACCAGCTTTGAGTTAAGGCTTTGACTTGCCAACCACTTAAGGAAGTGACAGTGCTGATCTTCACTGACATTTAAAAAGTCAGGATTTGTGACTACTGATGATGTGGGTTTTTTTTTAAAAGAGCAGTATGCAAACATAAGCACCACTGGTGGTATTTTCAATGTTTAAACAAAGAGACCTACCTGAAATACAAACATGTGTCTTCCTGCAGGAACAGGGCCCACCAAAACAGAATCTAAAACTTGGTCATACTCCTCACTTTCTGCTGAGCCCACATAAATAATTTTCCATTCCAAATCTGCATTAGAAGAAGAAAAGCTTTAGAGTACACAAGCACTATGTAAATACCAATTTTACTTGAACCCCCCCAATCACATGGTACCATCCAACTCCCCACTCTCAATAATTTATTTTAGCTCTCAAAATTAGACATTATAATCATGCATTTAGAATCAAGTATTATAAAAATCAGTGGAATTTATTGCCAAGTAAATGTGATACCAGAAGTGCCCATTAGTTTCCCAAGCCATAGCAATTCAGCTGCTAACAACTGAGGGGCCCTGTCTTACTAAGGCAGGATGGCTTGCAAGACATCATTTTATTTTCACACCACACATGAAGCAAATTCGGCTGAGGGATAATGCCTCACTCAGGACCATCCACTGAGTTTCATAGCCAAGTATGAATTTTTATCCAAAATACCACCACATCTTAATAATCTGTAATAGTATAGGCAAGTCAGTAGTTGTAGACATCTGCATTATAAACATTTTCAATGCTCTGAAAGGTCAAGTAGCCCCTCCCCCCAATTCCGTCCTTTCATTATGCTCTTCTGCCAATTTCATGTAGGAATCGCTCTCTATAGGACAACCTTATTTTTTATGTCTAAGTCATTAACAGCCAGGCCTCTTAGTCGTTTCACAGATGACTGGGTCCATTTCATTCCACCAAAGTGAATAAGTTAAGATGAGCTCATGTAACCAAGTATTTGGCCTCAGCTGGGCTGTGGATCAGGCTTTCAATCCAATAAAAAGAACGGGGAGGAGAATAAAACAATCCCTTCTATCACCTTTCTTAATATTAGAATTGCTATAGATGTTCCTTTCACATTCCTTCACAATTTGTCAATGTTGTCAGTAAATGAGCATGAAAACATACCACCAATCCAGTAAACCCACAGCTTCACAGTTAAGTGATGAAACAATGTTTTTGGGTAGCCATTAACAGTTTAGTTTCATTTTGAACAGGATCCAGCATAGGCTGAGGTTAGGCAGCGGCCAGAGCCCAAGATTTCCTGTAGGACCCATGGCTGTTGCGGCATGCCTACCTGCCACTCACTCTCTCTCTCAGCTGCACGTGGTTATAAGGAGAAGAGCATGCATGTGGTGTGTTCACAGGTGATGTGAGGGCTGGCGAGCAAGCTGGAGATGCACAGGTAGAGGGGCAGGCACAAGCAGGTGCATGGCAGCAGGCAGGGTCCCAGGCACTCTCAGTCCAGGGCCTCTCCACCCCAAACCTGGAACCATACCTGATTTTGTACAATTCAGTTTCATGGGGAAAGGGCAATACTTTTTTCCTAACTTCCTCCACCCCAGATGACTGAAGAGGGAGTTTGGCTCCCAATTACTGTTTTCTTTTTACAGTTATTACTGCTTCTCTGTGTGTGTGTTTGTGTACGTACACACTCCTGTATGTAAGTCTTGCTTAGACTTGGGCTGCTGCCACAGGGCAACACTTCTTCATGTAGCTTTCATACCTGCAGTGGCAACAAAACATCCACAAGGTAGTTTTATTTATGTCTTCTTTGCCTCAGCCCTCCCCACCACCACCACTGCGAATGCCACCACCCCAGTAGGTTTTTTAATATTAGCAATAATCACTATATAATGATTTATCTTTTGGTTCCTCTGCATTCCCAACTTTCATTTTTTAAAAACGTTTATGGCTCTAGCAGCTTTTGTTGTAGAGATAAAAGGGAAAGGCATATCTCCTCAACAAAAACAGCTAGAGAGGGGGATTTTTTAAATGAAAGTTGGGACTTCAGAGGAAGTAATAGATAATTTACTACAGTGCTGTAGTGCCATCAATTGCTCATTTTTTAAAGAAGCTTGAAAAAGCCCTCTGATGTCATGGGGGAAATGGCAGCCGCAGGGGGACTCAGGAAAGGAGAATGGGTGGCATCAGGTGGAAAAAATGCATTTTCCCATCCAGGCAGCATCCAAAAGTGCTTTGGCTCCAATCTCTCCAAAGAGATCATGCAAAACCTGGGTTGTGAAAGATCACAGTAAAGCAGAGGGGGAAACAGCTAAAGGATGGTGTGTGGGTGCTCCCCTAAAACGCACTCCTCCAGTTTGCAAAACCTCCACATAAGAAGCAGCCTTGCACCACAGTTCAACACTTGAGCATCACTACCAACAATTGCCGCCTTCAAGCTAGTTCTTGCATAATACTTGAGTATTCAGTAGTCTATCCTGTCAGGTTCCTGAATGGGAGGGGCTACCTTGGGAGGTCAGGCAGTTCAGCCTACCCTGGTTCTGGAGGGAAAGTGGCTGACATCACTGTGGGCATCAGCACATCCCACTTTTTCTGGGGAAGCGATACTTAGCAGTGGACAGTAAATACGTTACTCTAGTGGCTTTTTAAGTTTCCAACAACACATTCTCTAGAATAGAAATGTCAGCAAACGCTAAAAAAGCATAAATAGTATGTTTCCAAACAGCACCAAAAATAAAAAAGGTGACTAATCAACTTCAGCACCCTCGTTGATCGATGGCTGGCTTTCAGCTCCACGTGCAGCATTTTACAAGTCATGTAGTGTTAGTTTGAAAAAAAAGAATAAGCTAATCCCACCCGTCAGCCCTCTCTAACAAGGGGGAAGCCCATAAACTTGTGGAAGCTGCCTTGCTGCTCTTGCGTTCAGCCTGAGGCATGCGAGATGTTCTCGCTAAGCCCTCCTCTCTCGCGTACGCGCCCGACAACCCACGAACATCACAATGCTGGCAACATGGCTGCTATCACCACTCAAACAAGTTCCTTGCAACTTAATGCTTTCCCTCTCCCGAACTGCGTGCCCGGGGCTCGGCGGCTCCCCTCCGCTCGCGCAGCAAAGGACCCAGTAAGCCATTCGCTCCGGACTCCTTCGCTCTCCCGGGATGGGCAGGAACCCCAGCCCCGAGCATTTGAAGCAGGCGGCGAGCCCCAGCTCCTTTCATCCGGCCAAGGCGAAAACTGTTCAAACAGCAGCAGCAGCAGGCCTTTGCAAAGTTTAAGCCCGGAAAGGGCTCGTCCAGCGCCCTAAAAAGCACGGTGGGCGAAGCGGTACTCACCTTCCGACAGATCCTCTATACACTCGAAGGTGATTTCGAACTGGAAAGGGTTGTAGAAGGGAGAAGGATTATCCAGCACCACTACATTGTTCACCTGAACCTTTGCCATATTTTGGGGGGGGGAATCTCGAACAATAGTAGCGGCGCGTAACCGCAGCCCCACAAAGTCCAAAGGAGTCTCCTTCTGCAGAGCACACTCCAATGCCAGCAAAGCAGCAAACGTGTAAAGGTATGAGTTGAAGAACTTTTTCCTCTTATTTTATTTTTTTTGCCCCCCTCTTGCCTCTTTTGGGGGGGGAAATTGCAAGCCCACTCCACACTGTTTTGCAGCTTTCCTATTCCACTAAACTACAACCCATTCTGCTCTGTTAACTGGCAGCGCTGGCGCTCATTGGCTGCACGCTGAGCTATGACCCGCCTCTTGTAGCAGAGGCTTCCCTGTCAGAGCAAGATGGGCTTCCGTAGTTAGAATGGACTGGAAAATATTAGCTGGTGCTCCACCTGCTGGACCAGAGGAAGGCAAAGGTTTTTGGCGCAAACTCGGCGTAATGATTAGAACGAGAAAGGCGCAGGAGGAACAGAGGCAGGAAGCACATAATTCAGCATTATTTGGTCTGTAACGGGGGTAAGGGGGAGATGATGGTTCCCACTTCAAAAGGTGGTTTCTTGCTAGTTAATGTTTCCTGATTTTTTTCGGAAGAAAATGCATTTGAGGGCTTTAGTTTAGGATTTATTTGTTTTTTCCCCCCAGTTTGCAAATAAAATATTTTGTTTATTTAATACATTTATACCCCACCTTTCTCCCCAGTTGGAACCCAAAACTGCTTACATCGTTCTCCTTTTCTCCATTTTATCCTCACAACAACCCTATGAGGTAGGTGAGGCTGAGAGAGTGTGGCTGGCCCAAGGTCACCCAGCAGGCTTCCACTGTGCAAGTGGGGATTTGACCTCAGGTCTCCCACATCCTAGTCGGACACTTAACCACTACACCAGAGGAATCACCATCTTAGTCTGTTGCAGCAAGAAATAAACAGGGTTTTTGTGGCATCTTAAAAACTAATGAGATGTTATTCCACCATAAATTTTGTAGACTCGAGCCTACTTCATCTACTAGTTTAACAATGTGCTGTAAATTTGTTTATGCCTTTAAGTGAGCTCTCACAGAGTAACTTCTGTTTCCTCCATCAAGGCCTGTATGGAAGGGCCCTGACTTAGTTCTGTGTGTGTGAGCTGTAGTTTCAAGTGTGTGTGAAGCTATAAAGAAACCCAGGGTTGAAGCTGTCAGACTCCTGTGTGCTAAGTGGATAGGTAAGCTTAATCCTAAACACCAGACCCCATAGAATGCTACAAATAAGGTGCCACAACAAGCCTGCTAAATAGAAGCAATAGAACAAAGTTAAAGTCCAGTGGCACCTGATGTCACTGGACTCTAACTTCGTTCTGGTGTTTTTTGTTGTAGTTGCTTTATTTATAAAGAAACAAGTAAAGCGCAGATAGGAGGCAAAGAGGCTGGGCAGCAGATCTGCTACTCACATCATATCCCCAGAAGAAGAGCGAGAGAGATCCTGCACCCAGTGGTGCTGTCTACCCACCTCCTTAGTGGTGGGGGTGCGAGGAGGGCAGGCACCATCTTCCTGCTTCCCTGTGGTGTGTGTGTGTGTGTGTGGGTGATTTGGGCTGGCCCTGGAGGGGTGGGCATCTGCCCCAAGCCCTTAAGGGCTTCTTATCCAGAGCTATTAAGAGGGGGACACTACAATTTTTAGGAAAGAATACCATTCCTTTTGTCATGTAGGATAGACAGTCACAGTGACTAGAATTCAAGCCTGCTTCCAGTAGCAGAGTGGGAGCTGCTGCAGTTTATTACTCTCAAGCTATTCTGGTAACCTTTGAAGAAAATTATACCAACTTTGACACTAGAAGGAAGAATGTCCTAATTTTTGTGATGTTCCCTTTGGCCGCTGTTTTTAGAAAGCTGCAGGGCTTCTCAATTTCAGTAAGGCCTCCCTGTCATTTCCTCCATATTTCAAACACGGAGTTGAACTAACTGAGAGCCCATAGAGAAGAACTAGAGGGGGGGGGTAAATGAAGAAGAAATTTCCCCCTGATCCAGATCTTTCCCTCAAGGATGTTTGAGACTTAAGCAGGCCTCTCTTCCTCCCCCCCGCAACATACCTGGAAGGCAATGAGCGGGGGGGGGGGGGGGGCTTTTTTAGTATAATACAAGCACCTGTCTGCATGCTATGGCATTACCTTGCAGTAGGCTGCCCATCTAACCCCCAACTTTAGCAGTATAAGGAACACACATGATACTCATGATACTAATTTATGCTGACTCATAACATTGGTCCATCAAGGTCATTATTGTATCCCCTGACTTGCCAGTGGCTCTCCAGTGTCCTGGTGGAAGTCTTTTAAATTACTTACCAGCTCATCCATTTAGGGGGAGGTGCTTGGGATTGAGGCTGAGTGCAAGCAGATGCTCTACTACAGAGCCCCACATCCCCAGGGGGGCATTTTTATCCCTTCCTCCCTCCCTGTAATGTGGGGAGGGGGGGGTGCCAGGGGAATGTGCAGTCACACAGTTACACTTCGAATTAGTTTTCCATTCCCAGGGGTATAAGCTGTTAGGGGCTACACTCCTTTCTCAGTTGAAAGAGTCTTTAGGAAGAGTTCAGTTGAAGGATACTCTCCAAATTGTCCCGGTGTGTTAATTATGGTCCCCAGGCTGCCACCTACCAGCTCTTCCCCCACTGAAAGCAGCCCTCTTGCCATCAGTTAGGACCGCTGCCTTCTCCTTTGTAGCTCCCACTTTATGGAATGGGTTCCCTGGGGAGGTTTTGGGAGGGGGAGCATTTCTAGAATTATGCAGGAGCCACTGCAAGGTAGATAACAGACTGGTTTTGTTGTGGGGGGAAGGTAGAGTGGTTATTTGGGGTTTTATTTTGTATGTTTTAATTGTGACTTGTAAACTGCACTGAGCCATAAGAAAAGATGATATATATATATATTTTAATAAGTAAATAGGATTAGAGGAAGAGTGTTCCACAAAACCTAATAATACCTTCCCCAAACTACTAAGTTTCAAAAAGACCATTGTCTTTAAGATACGTCATCCCAGGGTAGGATTAAGGTCTGGAGATGCATGTCATGAGGCAGACATCAGCCAGTTGTAATTCCCCACCCCCCCCAACCACATGCTATAAACTGCTGTTGTCTTGATTGAGCAAAAATCCTCTCTTCCCTCTTTTTTTTTTTGTATTGGTCTTCACTCATTTATTTTTAATTTATTTTTATTTATATGTTAAATTTGTTAATCGCCCAATTCCTGCTAGTGCAGGGCTCTGGGCGATGTACAATATTCATTTAAACATATCAAGATAAAACAATTAAAACATTCACACATTTCAAAGAGATCAGATGGTGTGTACTAATTTATCCAATTTCAGACTGCTGGCTACTTCCTGGGCAGGGGAGAGGAGGGCAAGGCAAATATAAGAAGCAGCAGGAGCAGAAAAGGATGCCAGCTAGGATGGAAACCATCACTGCCCTCAACTGAAAACCTGGCAGAACATCTCTGCCTTACGGGCCCTGCAGAATTGCATGAGGTCCCGCAGGGCCCTGGTGTCATTTGGCAGAGAGTTCCACCAGGTTGGGACCAGGACTGAGAAGGCCCTCGCCCTGGTCAAGGACAGCCAGATAGCTTTAGGTCCAGGGACCCCTAGCAAGTTGTTCTTTGACGAGTGTAACACTCTCCTGGGGAGATAATAGAGGAAACAATCTTGTAGATATGTTGGTCCCTGACCGCTCAAGGCCTTATGGGTCAATACCAAAACCTTTAACTTGACTCAGTATTTCACTGGGAGCAAGTTTGGCTGGCACAGCACTGAATGTATATGTGCCATCCATGACATTCCCGTCAGGACTCAGACCGCCATGTTCTGGATCAATTGGAGCTTCAGGGTCAGTTTCAAGGGCGGGCCAGCGTAAAGTGAGTTGCAGCAGTCTAGCCTGGAGGTGACCATCACATGGATTACCATGGCTACGTCGGGACATGACAGGAAGGGGGCCAATTGCCGAGTCGAAAATGGAAAAATGCTGATCTGGCAATGTGCATGTTCTGGGCCTCCATATTCAAGGAGGAGTCCATGGTCATTCCCAGACTCTTGATGGATTGCGCTGATGTCAGTGGTGCCTCATCAAGAGCTGGCAGCCTATATCCCAACCCTGAAGTCCCCCCCCCCTCAGCCACAGAACCTCCATCTTTGCTTGATTCAGTTTCAACCTACTCTGCTTCAGCCACACAACCACGGCTTCCAAACCCATGGCCAAATTATCTGGAGCGGTATCTGGGTGGTCATTCAATAACAGTTACAGCTGGGTGTCATCGACACCTCAGCCCAAAATGCTGCACCAGCTGGGGGGGGGTGCATATAGATGTTAACATCGGGGAGAGAAGTGCCCCCTGAGGGACCCCACATGTTAAGGGGTGTCTAGAGGACAGACTCTCACTCAGCGCAACCTTCTGTCCCCAGCCTTGGAGAAAGGAGGCCATTGAAGGGCCAGCCCCCAAACTCCTACATCAACGAGGCGGTGGGTCAGAAGATTGTAATCAACTGTGTTGAACGCTGCTGTAAGATCTAATAACAATAGCAGCGCCAACTCGCCTTGATCCAGCTGCCTGAAGAGATCATCTGCTAAGGCAACCAATACCATCTCCATCTCATGACCAGAGCAGAAGCCAAACTGGAATGGATCTAATGCTGATGTGTCATTCAAGAAATCCTGGAGCTGTTCAGCTACCACTCTCTCAATTACCTTATCCAGAAACAACATGTTCGAAACTGGGCAATAATTGGCAGGAGCTGAAAGATCCAAAGTTGGCTTTTTCAAGAGCTGCACAACCAAAGCCTCCTTAAGACTCTCCAGATAAGTCCCTGGTTCCGAGGACCGGTTGACAATATCCATCAACGGGCCCCGTATCCTCTCATCACCAGCCTTTACCAGGCACAAGGGGCATAGATCAAAGAGGCAAGTGGTTGATCTGACAGCCCCCAGGATCCTGTTGACATCAGTGGAAGAGAGCAGGTTGAAGGTATCAAAAACTGAATCCAAAGACAGCCAAGGCATCTCCAATTTACTTACTGGATCAATACTGGCAGGCAGATTGCAGTGGAGCGACAAGACTTTATCTGCAAAAAAGCTCACAAATGCCTCACAGCTAATGGTCAGATTCCTACTCTTTTGATTCCCCTTTGTAAGGGATGTCAAAGAACAAATCACCCTAAACAATTGTGCTGGGTGTGAGCTAGTGGACGAAATGGAGGCAGAGAGAAATTCCTTCTTTGCCGCCTTCACTGCCATCTCATAGGATTTTATAAACGTCCTATAAAATGCTCTTGTAGCTTTGTTGTGAACCCTTTGCCAAATTCACTCCAGTCGTCTGAGTTCTCATTTCCTCCCCCTCTGTAGTGTACTAGGGGGATGATCTACCATGAGAGCGCAGAGAACATTGGGGAGCCACCTCATCAATGGCTTTAGAGAGATGGAGATTCCAGTCCTCTACCAGCTCATCCAGTGAGGTGCCGGAAGGCATCAGATCCCACAGAGCATTTTGGAATCCAATAGGATCCATTAGTCTCTGCGGGCAAGCATATTAGCTTACTGCTTAGACCGGGGGGGGGGGGGGGGGAGCAGGAACACCCAGCCAGGCCTTCAAAACCAAGTGATCTGACCATGGAACGTCCTCCTTTGAAGTCAAACACACATCTGTCCCCATCCCAAAGATCAAATCCAACATGTGGCCCACTTGATGTGTGGGATCTGATACAAACTGGGTGAGCCCCAGTGTTGCCATGGAAGACACCAGGTCTGAAGCCTGAATGGAGGTCGCAGCTTCATCAGCATGGACGTTGAAGTCCCCAATAATTAATAATCTTGGGAACTCCAAGGCCCACTCAGCTATGGCCTCCAAAAGGCTCAGCAGACTGTCAGTTGGTGTGCTAGGCGGTCGGTACACCAGACAGACAGCCAAGCTCACCTCAGTGTCCCACACGGGGCCTACACCATCAATGTTGGTGAAAATCCTCGTGAGTGAGTAGAGCTACCCCACCCCAAAGTTCAGGCCTGATGAAGGACTGAGAAACCTGGGGTGGGCAGTTCTTGCAAGGTGACAGTTTCACCCTTCCACACCCAGGTCTCGGTCATGCAAGCCAGATCCACATTTTGCACTACCAGGTAATCCTGTATCATTCTGGGGGTTTAACATCCTAGCCTTCACACCAACATGTCTTATTATTAATGGATCTAGCATTACTCAGCATCAGCACGGGGAGTTTAACATCCTAGCCTTCACACCAACATGCCTAGGGACAGGACGAAGGTTGGAAGGGGACCGAGCATACTCTCCTTCCTTTCCAAGACATTCTCCCTCTGTCATACCTCCCTCTGCCCCTGGTCACCGGGATCCCCAGCCCAATGCTGGCACCCTGTGCAATGTTACCCAGTTCCACCCTCCAGTTTCCTCCTCCACCTCCACCCACCCCAGCAACCCACAGTACAACAAATAATTTCCTTGTAGCAATCAGTGGTCCAAAACATCCAAATAACGTTCACTTAAGTAGACTAAAACTCCTATACCAACCCCTTCCCACCCAACCCCCCTCTTTCTATCCTCTCCCACTTAATAAGACTAACAAATTTAGATAATAGGCAGGGAAACAGCTTCCTCCACTACCCACTCAGACCTAAGTTTAAAAGTTCAAACACAAAATTTAGGGAACACAAGCAAAAACTTAGAAGCAAAATGCTGACTAGCATTATAACCTTGTATTTTGAAGCTGGGCCTTGCCAAGCCTTGCTCAAATGAAATTCTGAGTCAGTCTGTTTTGGGGGGAGGTGTTGTGTGTGTGTGTTCTTACATGAAATCATTTTTAACATTCAGGTTTTTTAAAGAAACATTTTATTTGGAAGGTTTGACAGTAACGGCTGTGAAGGACTCTGGAGAATGGAATCTGGAAGCAGGGGCACTGGTGTTGGCTGACGGAGGTCTTTGTTGTATTGATGAATTTAACAGCATCAAGGAACATGACAGAACCAGCATTCATGAGGCAATGGAACAACAAACCATCAGTGTAGCTAAGGCAGGGTAAGTAGCTTTCAGTATGAGTGATGAATTAGCATCTGTAGACTATTTTTGATGTCTTCATCCCCCTGTGCAGAGGCTATTTTTTTCTTGCCTGTCAAAGTCAGAGATAACTTGGCGAAACTTCTAAGTAAAGAGAGAAGGCATATAATTTTGCAGAAGTGGTCTAAGTGGTGTTGCCAACAGATGACACAGCTCCCCCCCCCCCATGAATCAAACTGCACCTACAAACAATGTTTATGTGCCACACTTGCTTAGAAGTGCATGGTAGGGAGACTGTAAGAAATGCCAGTTAATTAAAAAACCCTACTAATAAAATTAAGCAAAATCAAGCCATAGCACTTAAACTGCAAAATTAAAAAGAGCAAGAGCTGTAAGGCAGCTGTTGTTTTTCCCCTCTCCCTACCCTGAGTTTTTGATTAAAACAAAACAACTGTGTGTGCCTGTAAGACGGGAGATTTACACATTATTTGATTATGTTTTCTGTGGTGTACACTTTTTATTTATTCTATCAAAATACTTTTACCATACATTTTTTTTGGCTCAAAACAGCTTATAAACGATAATTTTAAAATTGCAGATGAAAACCAAATAAAACCTCTTAAGCACCTCCTGTTGTTCCTGTGCTGCCCCTGTAAAAACAGGTTCAGCAATGTTTTGAAATAATACAAAATCTGACAAAGCTCATTCAGTGAAGAAAAAAATGGGATGTGTGTGCACACTACAAAGACTGGGCCTTCCTTCAGACTGCCATCAACTCTCTGGGGAAAATACGTCTGTCTGTCTGCAGCCTGATAAGTATATATGTGAGACCACGGGTCATTTCGAAAAAAAAGAGGTGCAGGAGCTCATTAGCATAGCTTATTAGCATAACTCATTTGCATATGCCACACCCCCTGACATCACCGGAAGTGTGTCAGAAGGCAACACCCACTGCTCACGCTCCACTGGACTGTTCTGGATTGCTAGCTATTGGGGGGGGGTGAACATGCAGATCTGCCATCACAGAGGAGGGAGAGCTTGTACCTGAAGGCGGGCCCGGGGGGTGGGCTCTGCAACTTACCTGGCTGCTTCTTGCTCCTCCTGGCCTGACTGAGGGATGCTGGGAGCAGGGGGTGGGGCTTGTTGCATGTGCCCGCCCCCTGGGCTCCTTACTGCCGGAGCTCCGCTCCTGTGCGCTCCAGCAGGAAATGACCCCTGTGTGAGACCAGGAAGCGAAGGGAATGTAGAACAGTGCCCATGCTGAATCCTATTCTGCTCCACATCCAAAAACCCCAGTGTGGTGTTTGCATTCATCCACCATCACTTTGTGACAAGGCTCCCACTGTTGTAAGGGTTGACATCGGGGGATGGCATCCTCAGATAGTTGCCAGAGCCGCAGGAAGGCCAGCTGCAGACATCATTGCCTGTCTTCTGTCTCTGGAAAGCAGCAACAGCTGTGCCATTGGGACTCCCAAAGGGATTGGGCCCTTTGATGCACACATTGTGTAGCTTTTCCTATTCTACCCCCTTACGTTCAGCAGAGGAAGGCAGAAGCCTCGATCCCGATGGTGCTTCCGTTGCTACACCTGTCCCTTCTCTGGGCAGCAGAGTGAGTAGCCATAGCAAAATCTGCCTTCTTCCTGCTGCATCTCTTCCTCACCTGGGCAAGTGAACAGGCAAGTACCCTGGTGCCTAGAGCAGCTGCCTCGCACTCACTTGTGGATTTGCATCAACTTGCCTGCACGAGCAGCTACCAGCTCCTGCAGAGAAAGATGAACAGGCAAGTGAGTCATCGCTGCTCTTAGGCACCACAGCTGCTCTCTTGTTCATTCACTGAACAAGCAATGGTCACTTGTTACACCTCTGGGCAGCAGTGATGGCAAAAGAAACTCTATCAGGATTTGTTCTCCTGGAAGGGATTGGACCTCCTTCCCTTACTTTTGCTGAATGATGGAAGATGTCTTTTCCCTCTTTGTCTCAAAGCAAAGGGCAGGTAGCAGCAATAACTGTTTGCTTCTATCTGGTTGCTGAACTTTTACCCCCAAGGAGAGCAGTAGCAGCCACTGTCATTCCACCCAACCTTGAGTACTTGGTGGTGGCAAGAGCCTCTGACACAGGCACATAGCCAGGATTTTGTGGCTTGTGGGGCACATTTTTTTCTGGTGGGGCTGACGTTTTCAGTGCAGAAAGCCATTTAGCCAACAGAAAGCTATTACCAGGATAGATCTCTAAACTGTGAGCTGTCAACCACTTTAGATGACAGTTCTCAGCTGCTGCAAGTAAACCACTTCTGCCAACGTAAGCCACAATTCTGATGCCAAACTGGCAGCTGGGGGTGATGACTTCTATAGTCAAGAAAGCTAACATTTAGGCAGAAAAACTCTCTTAAAGGATGCCAGTTTCTTGACACAGAGACAGAAGGGATCCTAGAGGTCACCTACTCCAGCCCCCTTGCTCAGTGCAGGAATTAGTCAACTACAGCACCCCACTCTGCTTAAAGGAGCAGGCACCTTTAGGAAAATGTTTTTAAATGATTGAAAGAAGCATTTACAGGGGGAAAAATTCTTGTGGGGCTGTGCCTTTAAGAAAGGGGGCAGGGGCCCCAAAAGCCCCACCGTAGCTACGGGCCTGCTCTGACACCCCTCCTCTGTGGAACCAGGGGGAAAGGGAGGAGCATTTATTCCAAGAGGTGACCATTTGGCACCTCACAACAACGCAATTGGCAACTGCCTCCCACCTGAATGCCTGCACACAACCAATTCTGTTGAGAAAAGCTTGTGGACTAGGGAAGAGGCGGTGTTAGAAGGCAGTCACTGAATCAGCACAAGGGGAGGGGAGGAAGCCTAGTGAGTGGGAGGGCCTACCACCCAGGTAGCAACTTGCTGAGGCTCCCCAAAACCTGAAACTCACCTTGGCCACTGCATAAACCAGTAATTCTCAAGCTGTTGGTTGGGACCCAAAAGTTCATAATGACTTTCTTGCAGGTGGTACTCTGTCAGGAGGGAGAAGGTGAAACAGAGAGAGCTGCAAGAGGAGGCTCTTGGGGGCTTGTTAGCAAATTTGAGTTTGCCTGTCCACATACATAAAAAATGTCCATGAAATACTACATATGAATAAATACTAAAAATGGAAAAAACAAAATATGAAGCTGTTCAGTGTTAACTAATGCAATATTCTTGCGGTTTACATTGGGGAAGGTGAAATTAGCACGAGGAGTGGCTTTGCAAGTGAGTCCCAAAAAGCAAAGTAAGTGTAGAAGTGGATCCCACTTCAAAAAGTTTGAGAACCACTGGCATTACTATGTTTTGGTGATGAATACCAGCCATTTTTAGATCTGCACCTGGAGGCGGAGTGGATTCTTTTGAATGGCTATTTACTTCTTTTGGCCTCATCATCTTCCCAGCATGTAGCAATGCATTGATAAAACTTCTATCAACAGTGAAAGAATAAGAAATATTATTTATTCCAACACCTGAATGATGTGCACAAGCTGCATAAATGGGAACAAATAATATTACTTGACTTTATGTTTACATCTTCCTTGTACTGAAATAAGATTAGACATGAGCACAGCCTGGAACTATTTTCAGTGGAAATGGCAAACTGTTTTTAGTCAGAAGAGCCTAGAAACAGTTGTTTTTTGTGTGTTGTTGAGGGAATGTGAGACCCTTCTTCCATTCCAAGTATGTGCATCTGAGGCTTCATCCTTTCATTCCCATATTTAGAAATCCTTAAGGCATTACAGGGAGGGGGGGCTAGTATTGATGTCTTTTTTCAATTTCTGTTGTTACTGGCTAAGAGTCAAAATACTTTCCCCTGTGTTACATACTACAAATATGAAAGGAAAGATTCTTGGTGTTGTACTTATTGCCTCTCAATACATGAGGTAAGAGCTAAGATGGTGCCAAGCGAGCTGGAAATAGATCACTTATAAGTCAGATTTAGAACAGGTGTCTAGATAGCTGTATTGAAAGGGTTGTGCTGTGTCTACTCGAAGCTCTGAAAACAAACCCTCAGTTCAAGGTCACATGAATTAAGGAAGGCAAAGAATGTTGCACTGTATCCAGTCTCACAGACACCCCTCCTGTGAGCAGAGCTCTTTTATATAGTTCCTGTTGTGTATGTATGTGTGTAAACACATCTGTATATTTGTGAATTAGTGCATGAGAGGACAGGTGTGATATCACCATGCATCAGATAGGTAGCTATCCAGCATACGTATATGTGAATATCAGTGATCAGGGTGATAGTCAGGCTGCACATGCCTTTGTGGGACAAGCATACACATATTATTAATGTGCTAGTTCAATTTACCAGCTTTTGATTAAAAAACAAAGGGGAAAAAAACCCTACTAGACCTTTGGGTAAGAACCTGGTAGGCTAGAGTGGAGTGAAGATGAAATTTGTGTTCCTTGGCAAACAATTTTATTGGTCAGATCAGTAAAATAGAAGCTGATTTTGACCCCCTTATACAAACATAGATCCCTGTCTCTTCCTACATTGGTGGTCCTCTACATACAAACATGCCCTGCTCTGCATGACTTTTCATTCAGTTGTCACCTATAAGCTTATGTGCAATTTATGAAGCCCTTCAGGAATCATCAACATGAAAGACATCCTTCCACAAAGTTAACATGTTCAGTTTTTGTGTGCAAAATTTAGCTCCTGGGTCAAATGGAATTAATTGTAGATCATCTCTCTTCAGCTTAGTGTGCAAACTGAACACGAGGACCACTATACTGGCAGCAACCAATCCAAAGGGCCAGTATGACCCTAACGAATCTATCTCTGTAAACATCGCACTTGGCAGTCCTCTTCTTAGCAGGTTTGACCTTGTTTTGGTATTGCTGGATACAAGAAATGAAGAATGGGATCGCATAATTTCTTCTTTCGTATTGGAGAATAAAGGTAAAGTTGGGCATTAATTTGATAGGATGTATTTTAGTCTGTACATTGAAAAGACTGTTTAGTGTGGTGTTCAAAGAGAATAGTCTCAAAATATAGAAACTCCCCCCAAACATCAGAACTGAATAACAAAGTGAATGGAGTACATTTTGAAATAGCTAACCAAACTGGTTTTCATATCTCCTTTATATATAAACACCGAATGGTGGTGGCACTTCTCTAGAACATTCCACATGCGCCGAAATTGGTTGGCACCCTGGTGTGTCACTCACACGGCGTCTCTCTCCATTCACTGTGCTGCTGCCTGCGTGGGTGTCCTCCCGCCCACGGAGGCAGCGATCACCCTTTTGCCTAGAGATGTAAAATTTCCGGAAATTTTGAAGCTCGGAAAAAAACCCGTTTTTTTCCGGTTTTTTTCGGGAAAAAACGGAAATTTTCGGAAAAATTGAAAAAAACCCTACATTAGCATTTCTTTTGTCTTTTCTAGATTGAAAGTCATTCTGTTACTTTAGGAACATAAAATATGACTATGGACATTTTTATTTGGCATGAAATTATCACAACTAGCATATTAAAAATATAGTGTATCCAAACAATTATTGCAAACAGAATACCCACCCACATGCAAAAACAAAACTGAAACCTTTTTATTTTCTTCTGACAATAGCACCTCCTAAAGGAAGAAATGCATCTTGCATTGGAGAGTTCAGTTTGTAACCTAGGACTGGCTTGTCCTTAGTGCACAGAAATTAGATCAATCTGATACCATATATATATATATGTAGGGGCCCCCGCCACCAC